TTCTTGAAAGATGTTGCTCCAATGTCTTCAATTTTCATTGGTTTGGTTAAAAATATACTAGTAATTTTATCTCTGCATCTCTGTATGAAATGTATCTTTTTCTCTGATTGTTTATAAGATATTTCTTTTTGCCTACTGTGTCCCTATTTGACCATAATGTATTTTGGTGTACATTGTTAGTGTTATTGTATACCATTGAGTTGGAACCAACTCAATGGATCCTCTAGCAGGTTGTCAGAGACAGTAAATCGCACCAGAGGAGATTGTCCATCCTTCTCCCATGGAGCACCTGGTGGATTTGAATCGTGTTCCTTTGGGATTGCAATGCAGTTTATTGTCTGCTTAAGGTTTGATGGACTTCCTGGACCTTCTGTCATAGTTTTCATCTAATTTTGAAAATTTGAAACCGTTATTTGTTCCTTTTTCTCTCATGTTTCCCATCTTTTGTTGATTCAAGGGATATGTACAGTATACCACCTGAAGTTGTTTCAGAGCTCACTGATGATGTGTTCAATTTTTTTCCCTGCTGTATTTTTCTGTACGCTTCATTTTGGGTAGTTTCTATTGGTAGGTATTCAAGTTCATTTACCTTGTCTTTACACCACCAATTTGCTGTTATCACAGCCAGTGTGTTTTTCATCCCAGATAGTTTTGTTTTCCTCTCTAGTCATTAGATTTGTATCTTTTAAAAAAACCCTATCTTACACCCCTATTAAGACTATTAACTTGTTCTTCAAAATTCTTGAATATATTGAATACAATTACATTGTTATTTTTCTTGTTTATTAATTTTGTCACCCCTGCAAGTCTACCAGTTTTAAATTAATTGTAAATTCTCTTCATACTTGGAGATTTTTATTGGATGACAAATACAGAGGTTAAAACATTTTGTTGTATTGTTGACAAGGTAAACACAACACATGCTCTCATTCCACTGTTTCTACACACAACCTGCAGTAACATGGTTTGCCTTCTTCACATTGTGCCAACATTCTTACTAAATTTATCCTAGTTTTTTTCCACTCATACTGGGGCGGCGGAGGAAGACCTTTGATGAGATGGATCGATTCTGTGACTGGAGAGGTGTGGATAAGTGCGTTTGAGATGCCTAGGTTGGCACAGGATAGAAGAGCATATAGAGCTCTTGTACATAGGGTCACTATGAGTCACAGGCGACACGATGGCACATAACAACAACAACAACATATTGATTTAGATTCACTACCCTTCAGAATGAAGCTCTGGTGGTCTACTGGTAAGAAGCTGTGCTGCAATCCCCAAGGCACGCAGTTTGAATCTATGAGCTGCTCCGTGGGAGAAGGATGGGCAATCTCCTCCTGTTTGACTTACTGCCTCTGAAAACCTCCTGGAGGCTTAGCTATGGGTGAGTTCAGACTCGATGGCGCATATCAACATCCATAATCCTTCAAACTTGTAATTTATATTTTAGATGCTTATTGTCTCTTCAGGAAGCTTTGGTGGCCTAGTGGCAAGAAGCTGCATGCAGTTTGAGGCCACCAGCCGCTCTGTGGGAGAAGGATGGGCAATCTCCTCCTGTGTGATTAATTGCCTCAGAAAACACACTGAAGAATCAGCTATGGGCCAGTTCTGAGACAACAATAACAACATTGTCTCTTTGGTCCCCTACAATTTTTAAAATAAGAACATTGTCTCTTTGGTCTCATACAATTTTTAAAAGACCGCTGTATTCAAAAGTAATGTTCTTCTCAGTTTATACAGCATTTAATATTAAGGTGAATTCAGGGGATGGTTTTGCTTCAGCATTTAAAGAAGATCTCCAGACAATAGTTTTGTGTATTTCCCTGCTATTTCCAGTAAGTCTGTTGCTGTTAGGTACTGTCGAGTTGAGGACGACCCGTGGCGACCGTGGGAACAGCAGATCTGAACCCTGTCCTATCCTGTGCCGCCCTCACACTTCCTGACACACTAGAACCCATTGTGGCAGTCACTGTGTCAATCCACCTGATTAAGGATCTTCTTTTCCTTTGCCTCCTCTCTGCTTCTCTGCTGTTCCAAGAATAATGTCCTTTTCTAAGGAATAACCCTTCCTAGCAATATACCCAAAGTTTGTGAGATGAAGCAATCTGGCTACATTTTCTTCAAGACATTTTTGGGTTTTTTTTTTCAGTCCATGGGATATTTATTACCCTTCTCCAATATCACAAATCAAAGGCATCAATTCTTCTCTTGTCATCCTTAGTCATTGTCCAGTTCGCAGATAAATAGCAAGTGACTGGAAAGACCAAGGCCTAAATTAGATGCACTTTAGTCTTCAAAATGACATCATTGCTCCTCAATAATTTGGAGAGGTCCTTGACTGCAGATTTTCCTAGTGCAATACATCTCCTGATTGCCTGATTACTGTTACCAAGGATGTTGACTGTGAATCCAAGTATATGATGACATTGTGGACAACTTCAATCTTTTCTCCATCTATCATAAGGTTAATTCTCAGTCCAGTGGTAAGAATTTTTATCTTTATTATGTTTAGAAGCAATCCATATTGAAGGCTGAATTATTTGATCTTCTGCAAGAAGTGCTTCACGTCCTCATTATTTTCAGTAAGCAAGGTTGTGTCATTTACATAACACAGGTTATTGGTAAGTCTTTCTCTGATCTTGATGCCAGCTTCTTCATAGATTCCAGCTTCTCAAAGAATTTGCTCAGAATATGAATTGAATAGGTATAGAGAGAAAATACAACCCTGATACACTCCTTTCTTAATTTTAAACAATACAGTGTTCCCTTGTTGTGTTCACACAATAGCCTCTTGGTCTAGATATAGGTTGCTTGATAATAAAGTTGTTGCTATTGTTATGTGCATAATGACCCTATGTGCAACAGCCCTAAACCCTGCTCTATCCTTTGCCAATCTTATTGTCTCTGACACACCTACTCCTATTACCCTAGTCACTGAATCACTCCATCTCATTAAGAGTCTTCCTCTCTTGCATTATTCCTCTACCCTCCCAAGCATGAAGTCCCTCTCCAAGGACTGGTCCTTCCTTGAAACATGTCCAAAGTGTGTCTGACGAAGCTTCAAAATCCTTGCCTCCAAGGAGCAGCCTGGTTTCACCCTCTCTAGGTCAAACTTATTTGTTTTCCCAGCAGTCCATGGTATATTTAATAGTCTTCTCCAGCACCACAGCTCAAAGGTATCAGTTCTCCTTCTATCATCCAAAGTCTAGGGTCTAAAACAAGAGTAAGATCCTCAAGGAGACATCTGATTTGATACAGTGTTTGCAACAATGGTGTCACATATAGCTACAATTATAAGGCTGATGCAGGACTGGATAATGTTTCATTCTACTGAAAATATATTAGATAGGAGGCATAACCAATTCAAGGGCGTCAGCACCAACAATGTTCTGTCATCCTGAGATAATACTCTCATGAGCCTTCTATTTGATGACCCATTTTTTTTATCATACAACTTTGTATCATATTTTGGGCATTGTTATTTTTGTATGGCTTTGGGATGTCAACCAAAACAATGTTCAAAACAATATTCTAATCTATGCATACATTACAGAAATTGTTTTTAAGAGTGAATTCTCAAACATTCACTTCAAATGTGAAGGCCTGCAGCAGAAGGGGGAAAATGTGTCTTATGAACATCAGTGTCATTTTCATGACTAGCAAAAAATTCAATGCCAAGTCCCATGTGACCCCTAAGTGTCTCTCTCCTTAGGGTTCTTTCATGTCTAGAGTCCAGATTGGAATCACAATTTCTACTATCGGTGTGAGTCTAATAGCGTTCAACTATGATGCTAATATGCAACCACTACGAAACACCAATTACTGTGGACTCAGAGCCAAGTATTACTATTCTCCCAGTCTTGGCTGTGACTGTGAACGCTCTGCTTTATAAGCTGAAGCTGAAATCCTCACATTTACATCAAACAGGAAAGCCTTATATGAGAGATTAAAGTCAGAGGTATTTGGTTTATGTAAATAAGAAGCCTGGAAGCAGAATATTCAGTCCATTCTAAAGTCTTGACTTGAGTCTAGAATCCAGGTTGGATTTTAAAAGCTGCCTCTTCTGACAGCAACTACTCTTAACTTGATGTTGATCTGAGCATACACCCTTAAGAAAAAATTCCTTCGGCTGAAGTTTGGCAAGTATAAGATACCATGATCGATTCCCAAAGGGTCAAACAAATGCAAGAATAAGGCTGCTAATATACAGTATTATTAATACATGTTTTATAAGAGATCTCTATGAAAAGATATGACTGAAGAAGCATTTTTTACCAACAGGCTACCAATAAAACTTGCTCTGTCATTGTCCTAGTATCACTCAGAATGTAGTAATAAACTGAATGGCATGTATTTTTGACTACTGATAAATCTCACCTCTGTGTTACCCACTTCTCCCTGCCAAATTCTCCGTTCTGGATAGCCTATCTTTAACTTCCTAATGGTCTTGAACCTTCAGTTCCCCCTCAATATTACAAGGACAGATTCTTTTTCACCTAGTGGAACAGTCATTCTCACTTTATAACAATGAAGATTCGCCTGTACAGACAGTCTCTATTCCTCATGAACTTCATTTGCTATTATTAAAGCACATTCCAGACGTTTCTCCACAATAACCCTCAACAGTCAGTTCCCAGAGCAAACATTCCACAACTGGCAGATACTCAGCCACAGTGATAAAGCAAATCATTAACAAATCAAACAGCCACCACAGGGATAAAGCATATAATTAATGAATCCAGTGCAACTTATTACCTTTGACAACCCTCTGGAGGGTCAGTTATGGGAGGGTTCTGACTCGATGGCACACAATAAAAACAACAACAACAACAATGCAGCTATTAGCAAACCTCTCACCTGTGTGAGATATGCATGCTTAAGGCTCCTAGCACCAAGGTCACATTCAAAGCTGTCTTTCCTACCCCTATGTGAAGTCCCTCTTTTCACCCACACCAGATTCATTTTTTTTTACAGCCGCCTCATCCCTCATGGTTCCAAACCTTCACTAGACGTGTCTCAGGTGAGAGACTCAGGGGCTGTGGATCCCCCTTAGGTGCAAAGACGTAGGCTCCTGATGTGTCGGCAGTGTACCTGAGGCATAGGTGAGCAAGACAAGTGCGTTAAGATGAATTCTGTTGAAGGCTGTATGGAACTTTCTCAAAAAGTTGCAAATAAAGATACCGTTTGACCCAGCAATTCTACTACTGGGAATATACCCTAAAGAAACCATCAAACTGCCACCAAGCAGATATATACACACTGATGTTTAATGCAGCTTTGTTCGCAGTAGCAAGGAGTTGGAAACAACGCAAATGCCCATCAACAAATGAATGGATAGAGAAGCTCTGGTATATTCACACAATGGAATACTACGCTGCATTGTAAAACAAGGAACTCATGCAGTATTATTCAAAATGGGTGACCCTGGAGACATTATGTTGAGTGAAGTATCTCAGTCACAAAAGGACAAATAGTGCATGGTGTCACTGCTGTAAAACAGGACTGACATTAGGGCTGGGGGAGACTGAGTAAGATGGGTTCAACAATGTATGCTGCATTGAAGCAGATGAAGGAGAAAACTGTTTAAAAGGGATATGTGACTAGGTATTTTTGTCCAGACAGGAGTCCAGAGTGAAGGCCATATAGTGGAGTGGACCTGGAGATTGTAAAACAATGAAAGAATTTTTCTTTTACTTTTCCAAGAGGGTAGTGTACTGGGGATGGGTGGTTAGGAGGGGAGAACAGTGCAACAATGAATGAAAGGAAATCCAAAGTCTCATAAAAGAAAAAAAAAAGATGAGTTCTGTTCATGGACATCTTCCTGGACATGGTGACTTCTTACCAGAAGAAGGTCTGCTGGATGAGCAGCACAAGATTCTGGTCCCGGTTCTCAATCTCTTTTAAAAGTCCCGTGTGGGTATTGAATACAGCCCGGGTGTGCTGGAGAGAGAGCCCAAAACTAACTATCATGTCTCAGCAACAGCATCTCTGTTCTTCCAAGTGCTCAGGACATAATATCAGGGGTGATCTTTGACTGTTGTATTTCATACCCTGTGTCCAGTCCTTCAGTAAACTGTTATTTCTATTTATTTCATCCAGAGTTTATAGCAAAGCTCTTTCTGTCCTTGTTACCTCCTATCATCTCCCACCAGATGACTACTGTCACTTTCTTTGTCTTCCCACCTTCTACTCTTAATGCCCAATAGCTTTTCAGCAGAGTGCAGATGGAACCTTTTAATCTCCAGTCAGGCTGTTTCTCCCTGATCAGTACCCTCTGAAGCTCCCACTTCTCTAAGGGTAAAATGCAATTCTCCTCTGGGGCCCTCATGATACTGAAGCATTTGCCCAACCACCCCCATATCCTCTTCTCTTTTCATCTTTCTCCTCACTCACTCTGATTCAGCCACATTGATTTGCATACCATGCCATACAAAGCCCTCAAATGCTTGTCAGAGGCTTAGTCTGTAACTTTACATCTGCCTGGAGTATTCTCATCACTGACTCCCACTAATCATTTCTCTCAAGAAGAGCTCTGGTGGCCTAGTGGTCAGAAGCAGTACTGCAATCCTTAAAGCACCATGGTTCAAATCCACCAGCTGCTCTGTGGGAGAAGGATGGGCAGTCTCCTCCTATGCAATGAAACTGCCTCTGAAAACGTGCTCGACGTCAGCTATGAGTCGGTTCCAACTCAAGAATATGCTTGAGTGTCTCTTCACAGACAGACCTTCCCCGGATCACTTTATCCATCAGCATTGCCGCCCACCCAACTGGATATAATGCATCCTCTACTTTAACCCACTATTCTCCAGAGTAAACATGATATTCTCACCAACAAGACATCATTCTATGCTCTTAATTGGTCCCTTGTCCCCTAGGACATAATTTCTTTCTCACTTCTGAGTAAACATGGGACTTAGATACATCCTGGGGATAAAGTCCAAAATTGAGGTCCTACCTCATTTTCAATGGCGAGAACAGAAGACTGTGACCTCTGTGAGCCTGAACAGCTGGAGCCAGTCTTGGAGTCCTTCTCAGGAATGTGGATCACAGAGTAGATGCTGAATCCCAGGGCAGGTGCAGAGGCTTTGAATAGCAGCTCTAGAGGGTGCATTCTACTGTCAAGTCCTGGATTGTGTACCACCTGATAACAGAGAATGAGAGAAACTGAGGTAGAGGTCTGCTGATGCATACATACACTCACAGCCTGGGTCAGGGGTGGTACGAGTCAAGCTAGTATTCCTAGTAGTGTTCCTGGGATGAGGAGTAAAATTGCAAGGAGCTTGAGTTTGGCAGGTGTTTTATGAGGGAAAAATAGCAGACACTAATGAAGTAAACAAAAGTGAGGGAGAAGAGTGAGAATTCCTCACGGGGTCAGGTTTCTGGTTGGTAAAATATTGGCGAGAGGAAGGTCTTCATGTGGGTAGGGGAGATAGTCTTGAGAGAGAGAGATTCATAATAAGACACACATTTGCGTGGAGCATATTCTTTGAGGGGGTAGTGATGGTTGGAAGAAATTAATGGAAGCGATTGAGATTGTTCACAGCTTTA